TCAGCCTTCCAAGTAGCTAGGACCACAGGGGTGCACCACCATGCCTGGCTAATTTTTTTTAGAGATGGGGGTGCAGCAGGGACGGGGGTCTCACTATGTTGCCAGGGTTGGTCTTGAACTCTTGGCCTCAAGTGATCCTCCCTCCTCAGCCTCCTAAAGTCCTGGGATTACAGGCGTGAGCCACCACACCTGGCCTACTTTTCACTGTTTGGAGAAGCATTTTCAACTCCATCCCCCAAATCCTGGCTTAAACCTAAAACCTGAGCTTGGGTGAGGTAAATGAATATCTGGGCTATAAGGGTAATCTGAAACATGGCTTCTAAACACATGATTAGCCATCCTTTTCTCTAGTATTCTACTGACTTTTCAAGGTAGAATATTTCATTTCATGGGGAAATAGAGAAACAGTTCTCCTAAGAATCATGGGTAGGAAAAGGCTGTCCAAGTCAAATAAAATATAGAGACGAATCTCTAAATTTATTTATTTATTTTTTTTTGAGACTGAGTCTTGCTCTCTTGCCCAGGCTGAAGTGCTGTGGCACAATCTCGGTTCACTGCAACCCCCGCATCCCAGGTTCAAGGCAATTCTTCTGCCTCAGCCTCCCGAGTATCTGGGATTATAGGCGCGTGCCACCACACTTGGCTGTTTTTGTGTTTTTAGTAGAGATGGAGTTTCATTATATTGGCTAGGCTGGTCTCGAATTCCTGACCTCAGATGATCCACCCACCTTGACCTCCCAAAGGGCTGGGATTATAGGTGGGAGCCACCATGCCTTGCCAAATCTCTAAATTTAAAACATTTGGGAAGCAATAAATGTCATTCAGGGCATACACAACAACAAGGTGGACTTCAGTATGTCAGAAGAACAAAGAGATGGTTAGAGGTTTTATTTTTGTGAAAGAGAAATGTGGTCAGGAGCAGTGGCTCATGCTTGTAATCCCAACACGTTGAGAGGCCAAGATGGAGGATCATTTGAGTACAGGAGTTCGGAGCTGCAGTGAGCTATGATCACACCAGTACACTCCAGCCTGGGCAACAAAGCAAGACCCTATATCAAAACAAAACAACAAGAAAAAGAGAAATGTTACATACTGCTCTTTAAGAAAGGTCATTGTCACTAGTAAGGTTTTGGGGAGCCAACAACTTTTGATTAGCAAGTGATGGCAACCAGGTAAAACTATTCTTAGAGTCACTGCAGGTTGTTTTAGCAGCTAATTAAATAAAACTGCTTTAGGTTACAGCAGGCGGTTTTGGCAGCCAGACTTGCAGATAATTACATTTTTGGAGCAATGTTACGTGCCCTGAGTGCCTTTTTTTCCCCTTTACCTCTCTACACTGTTTTAGTTGGGGATGACAGGAATGACCCAATCAACTTTCACAAGCTAACAGGAAAAAATGTGGTTTATGAAAACAGCAAAATTAGCTGGGCACAGTGGCTCGCACCTGTAATCCCAGCACTTTATGAGGCTGAGGTGGGTTGATCACTTGAGGTCAGGGGTTCAAGACCATTCTGGCCAACATAGTGAGATTCCCCACATTCCCCTCACCCCTACCCCCCATCTTTACTAAAAATATAAACATTAGCTGGGCATGGTGGCACACGCCTGAAATCCCAGCTATTTAGGAGGCTGAGGCACAAGCATCACTTAAACCTGGGAGATGGAGGTTGCAATGACTACTGCACTCCAGTCTGGACAACAGAGTGAGATTCTGTCTCAAAAAAAAAAAAATTACAGGGATATTTTGTAAAATTCGTGGTGATAACAGTGGACAAAAGACATAAAGATAACTTTTTTTTTTTTTGCCCCATACTGAAGAGCTGCACCAGTTTATCTGTAATTTGATTACTGAAGCAGAGATATATTTGTTTTTTGTTTTTTTGAGACGGATTCTCACTCTGTCAGCCAGGCTGAAGTGCAGTGTCTCAATCTCATCTCACTTCAAACTCCGCCTCCAGGGTTAAAGCAATTCTCCTGCCTGATCCTCCTGAGTAGCTGGATTATAGGCACATGCCACCACACTTGGCTAATTTTTGTATTTTTAGTAGAGACAGGGTTTTGCCATGTTGGCCAGGCTGGTCTTGAACTCCTAACCTCACGTGATCCACCTGCCTCAGCCTCCCAAAGTGCTAGGAATACAGCCTGAGCCACCATACCCTGCCAGAGCAGAGATATATTTGAAACAAAAAGAATAAGCAAGATAGGCTGGGTGTGGTGCCTCATGCCTATAATCCTAGCACTTTGGGAGGCCCAGGTGGGAGAATCACTTGAGACCAGGAGTTCAGAAACAGCCTGAGCAACATAGTGAGAACTTCTCTCTACAAAAAATACAAAAAGTTAGCTGAGCATGGTGGCACACACCTGTAGTCCCAGCTACTTGGGAGGCCGAATCGGGAGGATTGCTTGAGCCCATGAGTTCAAGGTTGCAGTGAACTATTATCACACCACTGTATTCCACCCTGGGTGAAAGAGCAAGACCCCGTCTCTAAAAATAAAATAAATAATAAATAAGCTTGGCTTGCTAGTAAGTTTCCTTTGAAAAGAAAATCAGGTTGGGCACAGTGGCTCACACCTGTAATCCCAGCACTTTGGGAGACTGAAGCAGGCGTATCAGCTGAGGTTGGGAGTTCAAGACCAGCCCGACCAACATGGAGAAACCCATCTCTACTAAAAATACAAAATTAGCCGGATGTGGTGGCAGGTGTTTGTAATCCCAGCTACTCAGGAGGCTAAGGCAGGAGAATCACTTGAAACTGGGAGGGCAAGGTTGTGGTGAGCTGAGATTCCGCCATTGCACTCCAGCCTGGGCAACAAGAGTGAAATTCCATCTCAAATAATATTGATAATGATAATAAAAAGAAAATCATTTTAGGCTGGGCACATTGGCTCACACTTGTAATCCCAACACTTTGAGAGGCCAAGGCGGGCAGATCACTGGAGGTCAGGAGTTCAAGACCTGCCTGGCCAACATGGTGAACCACCCCTCACCTACTAAAAATACAAAAATTAGCTGGGCATGCTAGCACACATTTGTAAACCCAACTACTAGGGAGGAGAATTGCTTGAACCTGGGGGTGTGGAGGTTGCATGGAGCCAAGATCGCCCCACTGCATTCCAGCCCTCCAGCCTGGGCAACAGAGAGAGACTCCATCTCAAAAAAAAAAAAAAAAAAAAGCTGGGTGCGGTGGCTTACACCACCCAGCACTTTGGGAGGCTGAGGCAGGCGGATCACCTGAAGTCAGGAGTTCGAGACCAGAATGGTCAACCTGGTGAGACTCCATCTCTACTAAAAAGATAAAAAAATTAGCCGGATGTGATGGTGCACACCTGTAATCCCAGCTACTCGGGAGGCAAAGGCAGGAGAACACTTGAACCCAGGAGGCGGAGGTTGCAGTGATCCCAGATCATGCCACTGCACTGCAGCCTGAGCAATAGAGTAAGACTCCATCTCAAAAAAAAAAGAAGAAAAAGAAAGAAAAAAAATCATTTTAAATATGCAAATGGCTTAGGAGAAAGATATTTGGTGCTAAACCTGATCCACAATTTGAAATCAAACCACACATGACAGAAAGTTGAGTACATGATCCTTCCTTGAGCTATCCTGTTTTCCTAGTAAGACAGTACACTATCGGAGGTTGCTGGTGGCAGTGTGGAGACTGAAACACTCAATTGGAGTTAGAACACTTTGGTCACCTTCTAGCTCTACTACCTAATCTTCATCAAGCCATTTAATCCTTGTGTATGTGTTTTATGTGAAAACAGGTAAAATAATGAATGTCCATGTATTTTACAGAGAACCTGTAAGAATGAAACAAAAATATAAAAACATATAAAAAACTTTACTTTGCTGTATAAATGTATATAAAGAACCTCTCTGACGGGCATGGTGGCTCACGCCTGTAAGCCCAGCACTTTGGGAGGCCAAAATGGGCGGATCACAAGGTCAGGAGTTCAAGACCAGCCTGGCCAACACAGTGAAACCCCCGTCTCTACTACAAATACAAAAAATTAGCCGGGCATGGTGGTGCGGGCCTGTAATCCCAGCTACTCAGGAGGTTGAGGCAGGAAAATCGCTTAAACCCAGGGGGTGGAGGTTGCAGTGAGCAGAGATTGTGCCATTGCACTTCAGCCTAGGCGACAGAGCAAGACTCTGTCAAAAAAAAAAAAAAAAAAAAAAAAAGAAGAAGAACCTCTCATGGTGTTTAAATACAGGGTGATGGAGAGGGGAGACCTTTAGGGAAGGCAAGAAATGAACTGAAGAATGGCTGATCCACAGTGACAGTCCCAGCAGACTGATACCGCTGAAAAGCATTTTCCTGGCTGGGAGTGGTGGCTCACACCTGTAATCTCAGCACTTTGGGAGGCTGAGGCGAGCGGATCACCTGAGATCGGGAGTTTGAGATCAGCCTGGCCAGCATGGTGAAACCTTCTCTCTACTAAAAATGCAAAAATTCGCCAGGCGTGGTGGCAGGCGCCTGTAATCCCAGCTACTAGGGAGGCTGAGGTGGGAAAATCGTTTGAACCCGGGAGGCGGAGGTTTCAGTGAGCCGAGATCACGCCACTGCACTCCAGCCTTGGCAACAGAGCGAGACTCCATCTCAAAAAACTTTTCGTTAGTTCTTAGGGGACTAACGGATCAGGTTAAGATTGCCGCAGCTCATATTGCCAGGGTAGAATAAAAATTCTAAATGGATGCAATCAATGTGTAAGACACAAAAACATCTTGCTAAACAAGAACCAAACGTTTCAAGAACATTTTTTTAAGACAAGTGATTCAAGCAAGAAATAAAAATAAAAGAAAGAAAAAACAACCTGGATCTAGGCAGCTCTACTTCTTGTGCTGGAAATTATACCGCGGAAGGAGGGAAATGCGGGGAGGTGGCAAGGAAGCGAGGCTTGCAATGTCAGAGCCTTGGACCAGCCTTGCACAGAGGCTCTCAGCGGCCAGTAGTCCCAGGAAAAACCACAACTCCCAGAAATCCTGGGCCCGGCCAGGGGCGGGGCCAACGGCGTATGGGCGGAGCCTAGGGAGCGAGCGGGGCGCGTCTCACGCGAGGAGTTCCTAGTGAAGCGGCGGGAGTGGCAGCTATGGAGCCGCTGGAGGAGAGAGAAGCGAAGGTGCTCGGGCGGGAGCGGGGATCGGTGGCCTCCTGGAAAACGCGTTTTTGACACCCCCGCGCCACTGGCGCGTCTCCTGCGCGCGCCACGTCTCCCTTTTCGTTCCCCTCTTACACATCCGTCTTCTTTTTTTTTTTTGAGACGGAGTCTCTCGCTCTTGTCGCACAGGCTGGAGTGCAATGGCGCGATCTCGGTCCACTGCAACCTCCGCCTTCCGAGTTCAAGCGATTCTCCTGCCTCAGCCTCCCGAGTAGCTGGACTTACCGACGCCTGCCACCACGCCCAGCTAATTTTTGTATTTTTAGTAGAGATGGGATTTCACCATGTTGGCCAGGCTGGTCTCGAACTCCTGACCACCGGTGATCCGCCCGCCTAGGCCTCCCAAAGTGCTGGGATTACAGGCGTGAGCCACCGTGCCCGGCGCACTCATCCGTCTTTTAGTGCCGCGGTCACGATCTGCAAGACCCCCTGTGCTTGGACCCTCCTGAAAAAGGCGCTTCCCTTCCTGCCCGGGCCTCCCCTTGTTTGGATCTAGCTTGGGAGAGGCGTTGTGCAGCCCCTGTCAACGGACTGGAGTGGGATTTCTCAAGCCAAACCCGCCTTCCAGCCAAGGCTCGCTGTTCGCTTCTCGCCAGGTTGCTTTCACACCTGAGCTGCTTCTGCGCCCTGCATCCCAACACTGGGAAGCTCCCAGCGCGGCGGAGCTTCTGCTGATGGAGGAACAATGGTTGTTTTCAGACTATGCACTGGTCTATTAAGCTTTAAGGCTTTTCAAGAGAAGCAAATTGTTAGCCTGTACTGCTTTTGTAGATTTGGGAAAAAACGGATTGTTCTCTGGTAATTTTGCGTCTTGCACGATTCATTGTGTACTTGCTCATTTTTTATGTCCTGATATCTAGTATCTCCCTAAAGACAAGTGAGGGGAAGCAGGACTTCAGAATAGTCACAGAAAACATTTAGTTTGCTTATGATCACTTCACTGTCATAGTCTCATTGTGCCATTATAGTAAACAAGGCTTGTAGTATTTGTCTTTCTTTTAATGCTTAGGTTGCTGCGTGGTTAAAAAAAATATTTGGAGATCATCCCATTCCACAGTATGAGGTGAACCCACGGACCACAGAGATTTTATATCACCTTTCAGAACGCAACAGGCTCCGGGACAGGGATGTCTACCTGGTGATAGAGGACTTGAAGCAGAAAGCAAGTGAATACGAGTCAGAAGGTGAGATTTAGTCCAGAGTTTCGAATGAGAATAAATAGAAGTAACCAAATTTTATAACACTAAAGCATCAGGGTTAATTTACTGTAGACTATTTATTTTGCTTCTTTGTTTTTCCCAGATTCTTCTTCCACTCTGTTATAGCATTTTCTATTTTATTGTTTTATGTTATATATATAATTTTTTTTAAACCATCTTGCTCTGTCGCCCAGACTGGAGTGCAGTGGTGTGATCTCGGCCCACTGCAACCTCCACCTCCCAGGTTCAAGCGATTCTCATGCCTCAGCCTCCCGAGTAGAGGCCTGTGCCACCACACCTGGCTAATTTTTGTATTTTAGTAGAGACAGGGTTTCACCATGTTTGCCTCCTGACCCCACGTGATCCACCTGGCTCATCCTCCCAAAGTGCTAGGATTACAGGCATGAGCCACCCTACCCTGCCAGTAGTAACTCTAAATGATAAATTGTATTATACTAAATATCTTATTGGTATTCTGATGGCAAATAGTAAGTTAAAAGACTCTAACCTTATGAGCCTGACACACGAGATGCCTTGTGGTTTTTTACTTATGTCTCTGCTTGGTCTGTTTCCAGTCTCCATGATTTAGTCATACAGACCTATCAGGACACCTGAGGTGGCAGCCATGAAATGTGAGACTTAGACAAAATTACTCTATGACTACATATAAGGAGATTGCATTCGAATTTTCTGCTGGACATATATAGTTTGAAAAAGTGGCAATCCTCGCCTCTTCCATCCCTTACCTTCCCTTCAAAAAAAAAATAGTAAGAAGAAAAAGTACATTTAGGCCGGGCACCGTGGCTCACACCTATAATCCCAGTACTTTGGGAGGCCAAGGCAGGTGAATCACCTGAGGTCAGTTGTTCAAGAACTACCTGACCAATATGGTGAAATCTTGTCTCTACTAAAATTACAAAAATTAGCTGGGTGTGGTGGTGTGTGCCCGTAGTCCCTGTAGTCCCAGCTACTCAGGAGGCTGAGGCAGGGGAATCACTTGAACCTGGCAGATGGAGGCTACAGTAAGCCGAGATCTCGCCACTGCACTCCAGCCTGGCGACAGAGCAAGACTCATCTCAAAAAGCCAAAACAGAAACAAAAAAAACCCCAAAAACTAGCTAGGTGTGGTGGCACTCACCTGTAGTCCCAGCTACTCAGGAAGCTGAGGCAGGAGAATCGCTTGAACCCAGGAGATGGAGGTTGCAGTGAGCTGAGATCATGCCACTGCATTCCAGCCTGGACAACAGAGAGAGACTCTGTTTAAAAAAAAAAAATTATCCAAATCAGTTTTTAGGTGCAGTGTTTATTTCTGTGAAGTACAGTTCTTTATAGCACGTAAGCTTGGAACATTTTGGAAATATTTGCAGGAGTTGGGGAAGGATGTAAAATTTTTACGAGAAGTTTTTTTGTGTTTTGTTTTGTAGTGGAGAGACAGTCTTGCTATTTTGCTCAGGCTGGTCTTGAACTCCTGGGTTCAGGTAATCCTCCTACCTCAGCCTCTCAAGTAGCTGGAATTATAGGTGCACACTATGTGCCTGGCTATATGAAGATTTTTAATCATGAGGAATGCAGATGAAACTATTCATTCTTCATGCCTTCAATTTGTCAGTTGAGGAGTCAAATGAGGAGAAATTGCCCTGGCTAGAATTGGCAAGTGCAGACTCCTTGTCTTGTCCCTAATCCTAAATGAGACAGAATCCAGTCTTCACCATTAAGTAGAATGTTAGCTGTGGGTTTTTTGTAGACACCCTTTATCAAGTTGAGAGAATTTACTTCTTTTTGTTGTTGTTGTTGTTACGGAGTCTCGCTCTGTCTCCCAGGCTGGAGTGCGTGGTGTGATCTCAGCTTACTGCACCCTCCACCTCCTGGTTCAAGCGATTCTCCTTCCTCAGCCTCCCAGGTAGCTGAGATTAAAGGCATGTACCACTATGCCTGGCTAATTTTTGCATTTTTGGTAGAGGCGGAGTTTCACCATGTTGGCCAGGCTAGTCTTGAGCTCCTGACCTCAAATGATTCACCCAACTTGGCCTCCCAAAGTGCTGGGGTTACAGTTGAGGAAATTTACTTCTATTCCTAGTTTGAGTGCATTTATCATGAAAGGGTATTGGATTTTGTCATTTTTTGTGTGTGTGTGTCTGTTGACATGATCATGTGATTCTTTTTAGTCTCTTGATGTGATGTATTACATTAATTAACTTTCAGACATTGAACCAACATTTATCCCTAGGAAAAAAATCTCAATTGCTCCTGGTGTATAATCTTTTTTTAATATTCATAAGATATTGGCCTGTAGTTTTCTTTTTCTTTTTCTTTTTTTTTTTTGAGGTGGAGTCTTGCTCTGTCACCCAGGCTGGAGTGCAGTGGTGTGATCTCAGCTCACTACAACCTCTACCTCCTGGGTTCAAGCAATTCTCCTGACTCACCCTCCCAGAGTAGCTGGGATTACAGGCGCTTGCCACCACACCTGGCTAATTTTTGTCTATCTAGTAGAGACAAGGTTTTGCCATGTTGGTCAAGCTGGTCTTGAACTCCTGAACTCAGCTGATCCACCTGCCTTGTCCTCCCAAAGTGCTGGGATTACAGGTGTGAGCTTCTGCGCCCAGCCAGTTTCTTCTCTAAATGTCTTTATCTGGTTTTGGTATCAGGATAATACCAGTCTCATGGCAAGAGTTAGGAATTATTCTTTTTTCTATTTTTTGCAAGAGTTGGTGAAAAATTGGTATTAATTTTTCTTAAAATATTTGGTAGAATTCAGTGGTGAAGTTTTCTGGACCTGGACTTTTCTTTGTGAGAAAGCTTTTTTTATTACTGGTTCAATCTGTTCACTTGTCGTGGGCCTATTCAAATTGTCTGTCCTTAAGTCAGTTTTGGTAGCATGTTCATTTCATCTAAGTTTTCTGAACTGTTGGTATACAATTGTTTCTACTGTTTCTTTATAATTCTTTTTATAAAAGGTTGGTAGGATTGTCCTTGCTTCATTTCTAATTTGTCTTCTCTCTTCTTAGACTATTCATTTATTTATTATTATTTTTTAAGGCAGGGTCTCACGCTGTCGCCCAGGCTGGAGTGCAGTGGTGCCATCATGTGAGCCTCAACTTCTAGAGCTCAAGGACTAGAATTAAGCTAGTAAGACCCTGTCTCAAAACAACAACATTAACAACAACAACAAAAAAAAAAACCAAAGAAAATCTCAATAATAAAAAGACAACCCAATTTTGAAATGGGCAAGGGGTATACATAGGCATTTCTCCAACGAAGATACACAAATGGCCACAAAGCACAGCATCATTAGTCATCAGAGAAATTCAAATCAAAACCACAGTGGCAAAGTGGCTCACGCCTGTAATCCCAACACTTTGGGAGGCCAAGGCAGACAGATCGCTTGAGCCCAGGAGTTCAAGACCAGCCTGGGCAACATGGCAAAATACTATCTCTACAAAAAATAGAAAAATTAGCCAGGTATAGTGGTACACACCTGTAGTCCCAGCTACTTGGGAGGCAGAGGTAGGAGGATCATCTGAGCCTGGGGGGTCGAGGCTGCAGTGAGCTGAGATTGTGCCACTATTCTCCATCCTGGATGACAGAGTGAGACTGTCTCAAGAAAATGAACGACTAGCACAGTGCTACTTCACACTCAGTAGGATGGCTGTAATCAAAAAGACATATTACAGCTGTTAGAGAAGATGTGGAAAATTGGAGCCTTCATCACTTCTAGTGGGAACGTAAAATTATACAATCACTTTGGAAAACAATCTGACAGTTCCTAAAATGTTTAAACATAGAGTTAACATATGACCAGCAATTCCACTCCCAGGTATATACCCAAGAGAAGTGAAAACATATGTTCATATCAAAACCTAACATTTACTGAATGAATTTTTTTTTTTTTTTTGAAACGGAGTTTCGCTCTTGTTACCCAGGCTGGAGTGCAATGGCATGATCTTGGCTCACGGCAACCTCCGCCTCCTGGGTTCAGGCAATTCTCCTGTCTCAGCTTCCTCAGTAGCTGGGATTATAGGCACATGCCACCACGCCCAGCTAATTTTTTGTATTTTTAGTAGAGACAGGGTTTCACCATGTTGACCAGGATGGTCTCAGTCTCTTGACCTCGTGATCCACCTGCCTCGGCCTCCCAAAGTGCTGGGATTACAGACAGAGCCACCGTGACTGGCCTGAGTGAATGTTTTTAGCAGCATTCATAATAGCCAAAATGTGGAAACAACCCAAATGTCCATCGATGGTTGAATGGATAAATTAAATGTGATATGTCCATATAATAGAATAATACTCAGCCATAAAAAGGAATGAAGTACTGGTACATGCTGTAGCCTGGATGAACCTTAAGCTAGTCACAAAGGACTGCACATCTTATGATGCCATTTATATGAAATGTCCCAAATAAGCAAATGAAGAAAGACAGGAAGTGGTTGCTAGGGTTTCGGAGGGTGGGAGATTAGAAAGTGATGACTAAGGGGAGCTGGAGGTGGTGGCTTACACCTGTAACCCTAGCATTTTGGGAGACCAAGGCTGGCGGATCACCTGAGGTCAGGAGTTCGAGACCAGCCTGGGCAACCTAATGAGACTTGGTCTCTATAAAAAAAAAATTTAAAAATAAATAAATAAATAAAGTGATGACTAAGGGATGTAGAGTTTCTTTGTGGAGTGATGAAAATGTTTTTGAATGGGTTGTACTGATGGGTATACACCTCTGAATATACTAAGAGCCACTGAATGACATACCTTAGGTGGGTGGATTATATGATATATGAGTTATGTCTTGATAAAGCTGTTAAAAATTTTTAAGAAAAGAAACAGTCACCATGGAACTCTTTTATCTTTTTAGCCAAGTATCTTCAAGACCTTCTCATGGAGAGTGTGAATTTTTCCCCTGCCAATCTCTCTAGCACTAGTTCCAGGTATCTGAATGCTTTGGTTGACAGTGCAGTGGCCCTTGAAACAAAGGATACCTCACTAGCTAGGTAATTCTTTTAATTTCTGCAAGTCCTAAAGACTTTTTGGTTCTTAGTATAATTGTATATGAAAAATTGGCAATAAATACAAAGCACTGAATTTAGTTACTTCGTATCTTTGCCAGTGAGTATAATTAATTTGGATGAATTTGGTATTGGTTAATTTTTAGTGTTTTTTTTCTTCCAGGAATAGGTTTATAAAGAGCGGATCTCATGTATATTTGGAAAGGGATTAGTATCACATTGGTCCCTGTGTATAATAAGAAAGAGAGTAGGCTAAATGATTTGGTTGAGCATAGTAAATTTTGGTCATGTCTACCTATTTGTTGAGTAGGTTAGGAATTTTCATTCTTTTTAACAGGCATTTTACTTCTATAATAACATGATTCTTCCAACAACCTTTAGAGGAAACTGAGGGTCAGGAGGTGGGGATTAAATAACTTCTCCCAGCTAGTAAATGGCAGAGCTGAGATTCAAAACCAGTCTTAAAAAGCTCATCTGACTATCACTGTTGGCCATATCTTAGCTAGAACTAATACAACTTATCATAATTGGAGAGTGACACAGCAGAACAGCTTACTTGTCAATTTAAAGGCAATTTATATATAATCTCAGAGCAGTGTTTTAGGTGTAAGAACATACGTACTGTATGGCAGCAGAAATCTAGACTTGAATTAAGTAACTTCAGCGGATAACAAATACCAGTTTATGTTAGTTGTATACGCATTGGGGAAGCAGGATGAATCATATAACCTCTTGCTTTTTTTTTTACAAATAATATGTGTTTTAGAATTTTTTTTAATGTATGTTTTTATTATTATTTTTGAGACAGAGCTTGCTCTGTCACCCAGGATGGCGTGCAGGGGTGCAATCTCAGCTCGTTGCAACCTCCACCTCCCGGGTTCAAGCAATTCTCTGCCTCAGACTCAGCTATTCAGCCTTCCGAGTAACTGGGATTACAGGCACCTACCACCATGACTGGCTAATTTTTCTATTTTTAGTAGAGATGGAGTTTCACCATCTTGACCACGCTAGTCTTGAACACCTGACCTCGTGATCCACCTACCTCGGCCTCCCAAAGTGCTGGGATTACAGGCGTAAACTGCGGCACCTGGCCTGTATGGTTTTTGTTTGTTTGTTTTTTATAAGATGGGGTTTCACTATGTTGGCCAGGCTGGTCTTGAACTGCCTGCCTCGGCCTCCCAAAGTGCTGAGATTACAGGCATGAGCCTCCACACCCAGCCCATGTTTTTTTTATACTCATATACTATCATATAACTTAAAGTAACATTATGTTTTGTGCCTTCTTACTATAGCTCTGGTATAACACTGGGGAAGCTAGATGAATAGGATAGTAACTGCCTTCAAGAACAATGTCTACATGCATTCAAATAAGGGAGATGGAAATGTAACTATAACAGTGTGACCGCTGTAACAGTACAAGAATGTACAAGGTGTAGCTGGGTAGCACAGAGACAGAGGTGGTCAGTGCCAGGATGATGGTGATGCTCCATCTGAGTTTTGAAGGAATGGTCGGAACTTTGCCAAATGAAGAAGGGCATTCCAGGCAGTGGGAATAGTGTGTAAAAAAAAATGCATAAAGGTAGGAACAGCATGGTTATGTAAGAATCTACATAGCAATAAAGTCATTTTTAGCAATGAGAACTAATTATAATTATTTTTCTTAATGCCCATTTATATGACCAGATTCTTCTTTCAGTTTTATCCCTGCAGTGAATGATTTGACCTCTGACCTCTTTCGTACCAAATCCAAAAGTGAAGAAATAAAGATTGAACTGGAAAAACTTGAAAAAAATCTAACGGCAACTTTAGTATTAGAAAAATGTCTACAAGAGTAAGTAATTGAATTCAAAGTGGTGAATTTATAATTAAGGGAGTAATAGGACATTGTCAAATTTAGTTTTGGCAGTAGGTATGATTTTAAAAACATATTAGTAAATGGGGTTCATAAAACATTTTTTTTTTTTTGAGACGGAGTTTCGCTCTTGTTACCCAGGCTGGAGTGCAATGGCGGGATCTTGGCAACCTCCGCCTTCTGGGCTCAAGCAATTCTCCTGCCTCAGCCTCCCGAGTAGCTGGGACTACAGGCGCATGCCACCATGCCCAGCTAATTTTTGTATTTTTAGTAGAGACGGGGTTTCACCTTGTTGACCAGGATGGTCTCCATCTCTTGACCTCATGATCCACCCACCTCAGCCTCCCAAAGTGCTGGGATTATAGGCGTGAGCCACCGCGCCCGGCCTCATAAAACTTTTTTTTAAGTAGAATGATTAGTGGAGGTGGAGATGGTTGGATATAGACTTTTTCAGCTTTTTTTTTTTTTTTTTTTTTTTGAGTAGCTGGGATTACAGGCATGTACCACCACACCTGGTTGATTTTGTATTTTTAGTACAGATGGAGTTTCTCCCACGTTGGTCAGGCTGGTCTGGAACTCCCAACCTCAGGTGATCCTTCTGCCTCAGCCTCCCAAAGTGTTGGGATTACAGGCGTGAGCCATCGCGCCCAGCCTGACTTTTTCAGCTTTTACTTTATACAATTTTTTTCTTTCTTTCTTTTTTTGAGATGGAGTCTTACTGCAACACCCAGGCTGGAGTGCAATGGCACAGTCTTGGCTCACTGCAACCTCCGCCTGCTGGGTTCAAGGAATTCTCCTGCTTCAACCTCCCCAGTAGCTGGGACTACAGATGTGCAACACCACGCCCAGCTGATTTTTGTAATTTTAGTAGAGACGGGGTTTCACCGCATTGGCCAGGCTGGTCTCGAACTCCTGACCTCAAGTGATCCACCCACCTCGGCCTCCCAAAATGCTGGGATTACAAGTGTGAGCCACTGTGCCCAGCTTCTTGCCTTTTTTTCAAAAACAAATAATGTGGGTATTAGAATTTTCAAAATGTGTGTGATTTTTTTTTTTTAATTTTTTTTTTTGGAGACGGGGTTTCACCATGTTGGCCAGGATGGTCTCGATCTCCTGACCTCGTGATCCACCCACCTCACCCTCCTAAAGTGCTGGGATTACAGGCATGAGCCACCATGCCCAGCCGTGATTTTTTTAATATTTATAGACTACCATATAACTTAAACTCACATTATATTTTGTTGAGCATTGTTGCTATACCTGTGGTATCCCTCTTATGATACTTTAGACCTTTTTTAGGCCTTTTTTGCCCCAGAGATTAGGGCCTATAGATCACGAGTATGTGTGTGTATGCACAAGTAATTTGGTGGTATGTAAATTTATTCAACAAATATTGAATACATATGTGCAAAGCACTGTCATGTTGCATTTATTTTTATTTATTTATTTGTTTTTTGAGACAGAGTTTTGCTCTTGTCACCCAGGCTGGAGTGCAATGGTGTGATCTCGACTCACGGCAACTTCTGCCTCCCAGGTTCAAGTGATTGTCTTGCTTCAGCCTCCCAAGTAGCTGGGATTATAGGTGCCCTCCACCACACCTGGCTAATTTTTTTTTTTCTTTCTTTTTTTTTTTTTCAGTAGAAATGTGGTTTCACCATGTTGGCAAGGCAGGTCTCGAAATTCGTGTCACATTTAGTACAGAGGGTTTTAGGACCTCCTATTTCAAACTGGCTTTAGGATATGTTAAATTATTATTATTTTTTAATACACAGTTTATTTAGATGGAAATAAACTAAATTGACTTTCTTCACCAAAAATAACAGCAATATTTTCCATATTATTTCTACATAAACCACAAAACAAAATATGGAATGCTTCACAAATTTGCATGTCTTTCTTGTGCAGAGGTCATTGTAATTTTCTCTGTATTGTTCTAATTTTAGTATGTGTGCTGCCAAAGTGAGCACCATTTTTTTTTGAATGGCTGATTTACTTTCTTCAAGAATAATTAGTTTACATTAATTGTAAAATTGTGTAAGCCTGGGCAGCATAGTGAGACTCTGTCTCTACAAAAAAAATTATTTATTCTTATTTATTTTATTTTTTTATTTGAGATGAAGTCTTGTTCTACTGCCCATGCTGGAGTGCAGTGGTGCAATCTCAGCTTACTGCAACCTCTGCCTCCCAGGTTCAAGTGATTCTCCTGCCTCAGCCTCCTAAGTAGCTGAGATTACAGGCGTACTCTACCTTGCCCAGCTAATTTTTGTATTTTTAGTAGAGATGGGCTTTCACCATGTTGACCAGGCTGGTCCTGAACTCCTGACCTCAAGTGATCTGCCCACATTGGCCTCCCAAAGTGATGGGATTACTGGTGTGAGCCATTATGCCTGGCCATCTACAAAAAATTTAAAAATTAGCCAGGCATAGTGGCATGTGTCTATAGCCCTAGCTACTTGGGAGGCTGAGGTGGGAGGATCACTTGAGCCAAGGAGTTTGAGGCTGCATTGATCACACCATGCATTCAAGCCTGGGTGACAGACCAAGACCTTGTCTCAAAAAAAGAAAGAAAGAAAGAAAAAAGGCTGTTTTTGTATTTTTTGAGAAAGATCCCAGAGTGCAACATGGATGGGAAGATGACCTGGTTACCGACTCTGGGCTAAGCCAGCATTGAATCCAAAAGTGGTGGAGTTTCTATTTTAGAATACTTTTACTGAGGAAAAGAAGAAAATGTTTTGAATTTTGCTTTTTAAAGGGATCTCAAGAAAGCCGAGTTGCATCTGTCTACAGAAAGGGCCAAAGTTGATCATCGTCGTCAGAACATGGACTTTCTAAAAGCAAAGTCGGAGGAATTCAGATTTAGAATCAAGGCTGCAGAGGTCTGTATGAAGGACTGAATATAGTTAGCTTGCCTTGTTTTGTACCATCATCCTCACAGCTAGGCATTATTATTCCTTTTTACAGATGAGAGGACTACAGAGAAGTTGGTAACTTACTCCAGATTACATAGCTATTATACTAAGCAGATCTAGATTCAAACCCAGGCGTTCAGGCTCTGAAACTCAGGCCTTAGACACTGCACCCATCTTGTCACAAATTGTGAGTGTGGAAAGGATTCACATATAACATACAAATGCTTAGATACATGTACAGTTTTCCATTTATAATTTGTAGCTCCTCTTTACTGTGTTATATGTTAAAAATATTTGATGGTGGTCACTTTCGAAATAATTTTTTAACTGAACTCCTTTTTTTGGTAATTGTAGGAGCAACTTTCAGCCAGAGGCATGGATGCTTCTCTGTCTCATCAGTCCCTGGTAGCACTGTCAGAGGTGAGCTTATTTTAACCTAATTTAACTTTCTTTAAAATATTACTCCACAATCTGCTTTTTCATTTGTTTCTTTTTATAGGGTTTTTATTCACTGTGGACCTGATGTCTTTTCCTTTACCTTTGTATTTTATATTCACTGGTATTTATACCTTTTATTCCTTATTTAGCTGTATATGCCCTCATATTTGCATGGTTTCCTTTTTATTAAAAGTTACTAACTCTGCTGGAGTCACTTATATATTATTGATGTATTTATTAAACAAATGTATTGAGGGACCATGAGCTAATTATCTAGGTGCTCCCCTTCCTTCTCTTTCAATAGACAGTAAAAATGCAGGTCTCCAAACTCCTGTGGTTACCAGATGCAATTCTGGGTTTTTAGGTTATGTAAAGGTTTGATCTGTTTTGTGGGAAGAGAGAGAAATAGTGGGTTTTGTTTTGTTTAATAATTCTTAAGTTTTTTTACCTCATTCTTGAAATCTAACATTGGCAATTCATAAATATGTATTTGGGACTCTAGTTGTTCCTTTACATCCTTTGCTTTTCCTTGTTTTAATAAACAGAGATGGGGGTCTTGCTGTGTTGCCCAAGCTGATCTCAAATTCCTGGGCTCAGGTGATCCTCCCACTTTGGCCCTCCAAAGTGCTGGGCTTAGAAGTGTGAGCCACCACACCCAGCCTCCTTTATGTTTTGATTCCTCTTGATCACATGCTTTTGCATTCTTAGACAGCCATACTTCAATCTATTGTTAATAAATGGGAGTAAAGGCCAGGCATGATGGCTCATACCTGTAATCCTAGTACTTTGGGAGGCAGAGGCAGGAAGATTGCTTAAGCTCAAGAGTTAGAGACTAGCCTGGGCAACAAATCGAGACTCTAGCTCTACAAAAAGTTAAAAAATTAGGTCAAGTGTGGTGGCTCACACCTGTAATCGCAATACTTTGGGAGGCCAAAGAGGGCAGATAGCCTGGGGTTAGGAGTTTGAGACCAGCCTTGCCAAAATGGTGAAACCCCATCTCTACTAAAAAATAGCTGGGCGTGGTGGTACACACCTGTAATTCCAGCTACTCAAGAGACCGAGACAGGATAAAGGATAATCGCTGGAACAGGATAAAGGATCATTGCAGTTAGCTGAGATTGTGCCACTGCACTCCAGCCTGGGTGACAGAGCAAGACTCCATCTTAAAAAAAAAAAATTAGCCAGGCATGGTGGTGCATGCCTGTGGTTCCAGCTACTCGAGAGGCTGAGGCAAGAAGATTGGTTGAGCCCAGGAGTTTGAGGTTATTGTAAGCCATGATTGCACCACTGCATTCCTACCTGGGCAACACAGAGAGACTCTGTCGCAAAGAATAATAAAAATATAACTTTCTGGCCGGGCACAGTGGCTTATGCCTATAATCCCAGCACTTTGGGAGGCTGAGGTGGAAGGATCACCTGAGGTCAGGAGTTCAAGACCAGCCTGGCCAACATGGTGAAACCCCATCTCTACTAAAAATACAAAAATTAGCCGGGCCTGATGGTGGGTGCCTGTAATCCCAGCTACTTGGGAGGCTGAGGTGGAGTTGCAGTGAGCCGAGATCGCGCCATTGAACTCCAGCCTGGGTGACAGAGTGAGACTCTGTCTCGAAAAAAAAAAAAGATTTTAAAGAACATAACTTTTCTATTTTAAGTATCTAACAGTTGTTTCCATTGAGAGTGAGTTTGTCTGTGTATCTTTGAAGCTCTTTATTCAATAACATTATTTAAAGTATCCTAATGTTAATGCTTTGTTGTGTTTTATTTCAGAAATGGACAGTATTAGTTGCATTTTGAATGTTTCTATTACCCTGTGACTGTGTTCTTTTACCCCCAGAAACTGGCAAAATTAAAGCAGCAGACTATACCTTTGAAGAAAAAATTGGAGTCCTATTTAGACTTAATGCCGGTAATAATTTTCATGAATTAAAAAAAGACTATTTCCTCCAACCTCACTTAAGGGTACTATATGACTATGAAAATAGTGTGTTTAGGCCAGGCACAGTGGCTCACGCCTATATTCCCAGCACTTTGGGAGGCCGAGGCAGGCTGATTACCTGAATTCAAGACCAGCCTGGCTAACATGGTGAAACCCCATCTCTACTAAAAATGCAAAAATTAGCCAGATGCAGTGGTGCACACCTGTAGTCCCAGCTACCTGGGAGGCTGAGGATGGAGAATCACTTGAACCTGGGAGGCAGAGGTTGCAGTGAGCCAAGATCACACCACCAAACTCCAACCTGGGTGACAGAGCAAGACTCCATCTCAAAAAAAAAAAGAAAATAGTATGTTGGTTTTTGTTTTTTTTTTTTTAAGCCAATTAGTGTGAGCTTGTAAGGTTGTTCAGGTTAGCCTTGAACTCATGACCTCGCCTTCGCAAGCGCCACGACATCCGGCAGAAGCCACTTTGGACCCCAGTATGTTGGTTTTTAAGGGTTTAAAGTCAGTGGTAAATTTCAGTGTTATATGTACATTGGGTTTTTTGCCTTTTGAAAAGGATTGTGGCATTATTTTTCTCCTTGAGTCTGAATTGAGGCAATATAACCTTTCCTTGTTTTATTTATTTTTTGTAAGAATCCATCTCTTGCTCAAGTGAAAATTGAAGAAGCAAAGCGAGAATTAGTAAGTACTTCCTGTAATTTTTTCAGATTTTTAAAAAAGAAAATAAATGTTAATATAAAGTCCTCTTCATTCTTCTTTCCTTTCTCTTCAGAGGTAAATGGCAGTCCTAAAGTTACTGTGTCTCATTCTCCTGCATCTTTTAATACTTTTTTTGGCTGTGTACATGGATATATATTTTTTCCCTTAAAAACCACAAAGTAGTATTTTATGCCTTTTAAAATTTTGTATAGATTTTCCTAGTGGAAAAAGGGGGGTATATTGAGAGATATAGAATACTCTAGGCAAAGAAAAAAAGGGAATATATGTGTATATATATGATATTGAGAGACAGAATATATTGAGAGATATAGAATATTCTAGGCAAAAAAAGGGAATATGTATACATACACACACACACACACACACACACACACACATATATATATATATATCCATATCCATATATATATATATCCCCCTAGATATAGAATATTCTATGCAAAAAGAATTTGCAAAGGCATATAAGCTGAAAAATGGGGCCGGGCGCGGTGGCTCATGCCTGTAATCCTAGCACTTTGGGAGGCTGAGACAGGTGGATCGCCTGAGGTCAAGAGTTCAACACCAGCCTGGCCAACATGGTGAAACCTCGTCTCTACTAAAAATACAAAAATTAGCCAGGTATCATGGCAGGTGCCTATAATCCCAGCTACTCAGGCTGAGGCAGGAGAATCGCTTAAACCCAGGAGGCAGAGGTTGCAGTGAGTGGAGATTGCACTACTGCACTCCAGCCTGGGCTTCAGAGAATCTGTCTCAAAAAAAGAAAGAAAGAAAGCTGAAAAATGGAAGACTTATTGAAGTTATAGCAAGTGATAAGGCCTGCCTGCTTGAAGCATGAAATGTAAGAAGAGTTGGAAAAGATCAATTGGTTTATGATGTAGAGGGCCTTAATATATAAAGAGTGTTAAACTTAGAAGTGTTGACCACTGAAAGATCCTGTGTGTTTCCTTGTTTTTTAAGCTTAAAAGAAATATGATTATAGCTGTGCTGTTATTTTTTTTGGAGATGGAGTCTTGCTCTGTCCTCCATTCTAGGGTGCAGTGGTGTGATCTCAGCTCACTGCAACCTCCACCTCCCACATTCAAGTGATCCTCGTGCCTCAGCCTCCCAAGTAACTGGGATTACAGGTGTGCATCACCATGCGCAGCTAATTTTTATTTGTTTATTTATTTATTTGAGATGAAGTCTTGCTCTGTTGCCCAGGCTGGAGTGCAATAGCATGATCTTGTCTCACTGCAACCACTGCCTCCCAGATTCAAGCCATTCTCCTGCCTCAGCCTCCTGAGTAGCTAGAATTACCGGCACCTGCCACCACGCCTGATTTTTGTATTTTTAGTAGAGACAGGGTTTCACCATGTTGGTCGGTCTGGTCTCGAACTTATAACCTCAGGTGATCCACCCACCTAAGCCTCTCAAGGTGCTGGGATTATAGGCGTGAGCCACCGTGCCCAGCCATATTTTTGTGTTTTTAGTAGAGACAGGTTTTACCACATTGGGCAGGCTGGTCTCTTTGACCTCAAGTGATCCACCTGCTTTGGCCTTCCAAAGTACTGGCATTACAGGTGTGAGCCACTGCACCTGGCCAAAGCTACGCTTTTTATCAGGCTAGTTCTTTAGGAAGATTATTCTGTAGCTAATGTTTAGGGTAGATTGGGGGAGGGAGAAAGAAAATTGCAGAAACCAGTTTGTGTATTTAGGCCAAATAAAAAGTAATGAGGACAGTGGCAATGCAAATGGAAAAGAAAGGCCGGGCACAGCGGCTCATGCCTGTAATCCCAGCACTTTGGGAGGCCGAGGTGGGCGGGTCACCTGAGGTCAGGAGTTCTAGACCAACCTAACCAACATGGAGAAACCCCGTCTCTACTAAAAATACTCAATTAGCCATGCATGGTGGTACATGCCTGTAATCCCAGCTACTCAGGAGGCTGAGGCAGAAGAATCACTTGAACCCAGGAGGCAGAGGTTGTATTGAGCCAAGATGGCGCCATTGCACTGCAGCCTGGGCAACAAGAACAAAACTCTCTCAAAAAAAAAAAGAATGAAAATGGAAGACAGGTGATGTGAGTGACGTTTGGAGGCACATTGTTTAAGGTTTTTTCCCTTCCCTTCAGGTGTTTCTTACACTCACTTAGGAGTTTGAGTGCTTTCTGAGGGGAAGAGAGGGGAGATGTAAAAGCAAGGGAATGTCTAAAAGCATATTTGATATTCATAATAGTATTCTTAACATTTTTTGTTTTAATGTTTTTCTTTTTTGCTTCCCTTATTTTAAATAACATTTAATAAAAGTTAGAGCATCTGTCTTATGCCCTTATTTATGGTATGTCTTTCTTCCTGTAGGATAGCATCGAAGCTGAACTTACAAGGAGAGTAGACATGATGGAACTGTGACAACAGCCACATAAACATCCTTTTTTTCTAGAAAATTGAATAAGACTTTACAGAGTTCTTTTTCCTCTTGGCACTTCTTAACAAGAAAATTTTCTGTGTTCTTAGATTACAGAATGTCATAATTGATAGAATATGGTTTCTTACTGTGTATTGCATTTTTGTGCCCAGATACATAGTTTTCATATTAAAAAGCCTTTTCTCTTACTTTCTTTCTGTGTGGTTGATGGTTGAGAATCCTTCATTAGCTCTATGAGGCAAACATTGTGCATGAGTTCATTAGGTCAACTAGAGTGAAAGGAAAGTTTCCACAGCTCCACCATGTTTCTCCCACGCTCTTCTTTCTCCAGGGGTTTGCTGTCATTCTTTTTGATCAGCTCACCTGCCTGCTTCCAAATGTTAATATATGCAGGAATTTCATTTATGAAAAAGATGACCTTTTATTTATTTATTTATTTATTTTTGAGATGGAGTTTCACTGTTGTTACCCAGACTGGAGTGCAATGGCCTGATCTCGGCTCACCACAACCTCCGCCTCCTGGGTTCAAGCAATTCTCCTGCCTCAGCCTCCTGAGCAGCTGGGACTATAGGCGCGCACCACCATGCCCAGCTAATTTTTGTATTTTTAGTAGAGACGGGGTTTCACCTTGTTGACCAGGATGGTCTCGATCTCTTGACCTCATGATCTGCCCATCTCGGCCTCCCAAAGTGCTGGGATTATAGGCGTGAGCCACCACACCCAGCCAAAAGATGACCTTTTAAATCAGTAGTAGAAAGATGGATAATTTAACACTTGGCATTAGGTCCATACTTCATACCTTATGTCAGGATAATCCAAAGAATCAAATATTTAAATATAAAAAATTTAAAAATAAAGGTACTAGAAGCAGCAGCTTCTCCGCTCCTTCTGGAATCTCTCCCTGGTTCAGCCCGCCTGCCTCCACTCTTGCCTCCACCATGTCCATCAGGGTGACCCAGAAGTCCTATAAGGTATCCACCTCTGGCCCCGGGGCCTTCAGCAGCCGCTCCTTCACAAGTGGGCCCAGTGCCTGCTTGAGCTCCTCGAGCTTCTCCCGAATGAGCAGCAGTGGCTTCCGGGGTGGCCTGGGTGCAGGCTATGCTGGGGCCAGCAGCATAGGCATGGGAGGCATCACCGCCGCCACCATCAACCAGAGCTTGCTGAACCCCATTAAAGTGGATGTGGACCCCAACATCCAGGCCATGTGTACCCAGGAGAAGGAGCAGATCAAGACCCTCAACAACAAGTTTGCTTCCTTCATCGACAAGCTGCAGTTCCTGGAGCAGCAGAACAAGATGCTGGAGACCAACTGGAGCCTCCTGCAGCAGCAGAAAACGGCTAGGAGCAACATGGACAACATGTTTGAGAACTACATCAACAACCTGAGGCGGCAGCTGGAGACTCTGGGCCAGGAGAAGCTGAAGCTGGAGGCGGAGCTTGGCAACATGCAGGGGCTGGTGGAGGACTTCAAGAACAAGTATGAGGAAGAGATCAATAAGCGCACAGAGATGGAGAATGAATTTGTCCTCATCAAGAAGGATGTGGATGAAGCTTACATGAACAAGGTAGAGCTGGAGTCTCACCTGGAAGGACTGACTGATGAGATCAACTTCCTCAGGCAGCTGTATGAAGAGGAGATCCGGGAGCTGCAGTCCCAGATCTCTGACACGTCTGTGGTGCTGTCCATGGACAACAGCCGCTCCCTGGACATGGACAGCACCATCGCTGAGGTCAAGGCGCAGTACGAGGAGATCGCCAACCACAGCCGGGCTGAGGCGGAGAGCATGTACCAGATCAAGTATGAGGAGCTGCAGATGCTGCCTGGTAAGCACAGGGATGACCTGCGGCATATGAAGACTGAGATCTCCGAGAGGAACCAGAACATCAGCTGGCTTCAGGCTGAGATCGAGGGCCTCAAAGGCCAGAGGGCTTCCCTGGAGGCCGCCATTGCAGATGCTGAGCATCGCGGGGAGCAGGCACTCAAGGATGCTCATGCCAAGCAGCAGGAGCTGGAGACCGCCCTGCAACGGGCCAAGCAGGACATGGTAAAGCAGCTGCGTGAGTACCAGGAGCTGATGAATGTCAAACTGGCCCTGGACATCGAGATCGCCACCTACCGCAAGCTACTGGAGGGTGAGGAGAGCCAGCTGGAGTCCGGGATGCAGAACATGAGTATCCACACGAAGACCACCAGCAGCTATGCAGGTGGTCTGAGCTCTGCCTATGGGGGCCTCACAAGCCCCGGCCTCAGCTACGGCCTGGGCTCCAGCTCCTTCAGCCACACCAGCTCCACCAAGGCTGTGGTTGTGAAGAAGATTGAGACCCGCGATGAGAGGCTGGTGTCCGAGTCCTCTGACGTCCTGCCCAAGTGAACAGCTGCAACAGCCCCTCCCAGCCTGCCCCTCCTGAGGCTGCCCCAGAGCTCAGGAGGGAGGCTGCTGTGCAGGGGAGCGCAGGGAACAGGAGACCCACCTGACGCTCAGCCCTAGCCCTCACCCTCAGCCCACTGGCAGGGAGTTTACTGCCTGGGGACCCCCCTTGCCCATGCCTCCAGCTGCAAAACAATTCAATTGCTTTTTTTTTGGTCCAAAATAAAATCTCAGCTAGCTCAGAAAAATAAATAAATAAATAAAGGTACTAGAAGAAATTGAAGGGAAGTTTTCATGTTTTGGCCTTTTTGTTTGTTTGTTTGTTTGTTTTTTGAGACGGAGTCTTGCTCTGTCACCCACCCTGAAGTGCAGTGGCTTGATCTCAGCTCACTGCAACCTCTGCCTCCTGGGTTCAAGCGATTCTCCTGCCTCAGCCTCCCGAGTAACTGGGACTACAGGTGCCCGACACCACACCTGGCTAATTTTTGTATTTTTAGTACAGATGGGGTTTCACCATATTGGCCAGGCTGGTCTTGGACTCCTGACCTCATGATCCACCTGCCTCAGCCCCCCTCCCAAAGTGCTGGGATTACAGACGTGAGCCACCAAACCCAGCCTAATGTTTTGGCTTTTAAGAGACAGGGTCTTGCTGTATTTCCCAGGCTGGCCTCAAAATCCTGGGCTCAAGCAGTCCTCCCACCTCAGCCTCTTGAGTACCTGTCACCACAGGTACATTCCACTGCACCCAGCCTAATGTTTGATTTTTAAATAATTATGAGTTGGAAATGTATCACCAAAACCCAGGTGCCATAAATAAGTCCTTGAAATATTTAAATATTTTGTTTTGTTTTGTTTTGTTTTGAGACAGGGTCTTGCTCTGTCACCCAGGCTGGAGTGCAATGGTGAGGTCTTGGCCCACTGCAGCCTCCACCTCCTGGGTTCATGCAATTCTCGTGCCTCAGCCTCCCAAGTACCTGGGACTTCAGGCGTCCATCACCACACCTGGCTAATTTTTGTATCTTTAGTAGAGACAGGGTTTCGCTATGTTGGCCAGGCTGGTCTCGAATTCCTGACCTTAAGTGATCCTCCTGTCTTGGCTTCCCAAAGTGCTGGGATTATAGGCATGAGCCACTGCACTTGGCCTATTTAAATATTTTGAAATAATAAAAATGCCTGCATGGCAAAATCTGTTGTAAGTAAAATCAGTGGACATGACAAATGCAGTACAGGAGATTTTTCACTGTACCTTTTTGTGCCTTTTAAAGTTTTGTACCATGCAATTTAAAAACAATCAGCTTTAACAAAGTTATCTCAATGTCTTTAAAGTTTCCTTCTTTCCTTTTCCTTGCTGCCAGCCAGAAAAAGACATTTGTATTTTCTTTTGGAAACAGTCCATATCCTTTTGCCATTTATGTATTAGCTTTTGATCTTTTTGTTAACAATTTATAGAAGCTCCTTATGTATTAGCTAAATTAGTCTTTTGTGATTTGACTTGCAAATATTTTTCCAAGTTTGTCATTTGACTTACTTGCCATGTGCTCTTCATAAGGCAGTGTGATAGATTGAGTGTGGAAATGACCACAATAATTCTCATCCCTGTGCACTCACCCCTTTGTGACATGACTTGGCTGTGTCTCCCATCGAAGGAGAGTCTACTCTACCTGCTGTATCTGGCTTGGCCCTATGACTTGTTTTGGCCAGTGAGACAATAGCAGATGTGACAAAAGCAAAGGAATATAAACTGTGCATTGGGGCTTGATCTCTCTTACTGCCCTTTGGAATTCTGAAACCACCATTGAAAAAGCCTGGACAGGTCTATTGGAAGATAAGAAACTGGAACGATCCAAGATGACCGAGCGATAACAGCTCGGGATTGCAGCTCTCAGTCAAAGCGCAGAGAACTAGAGGACGCCACACTTTCAGACAAATTCTGGTCGCTCACGGAGCAGAAGATCCCCAGTGGGGGAACCACACGTGTCACCAGCGCGACTCTTGTGGCCTGTGCAGCGGCTTCGCTGGCACCTCGGCACGACAGCTCTCGGAGCAGAGTAAACAGGGCCAGTTCCCCTTCTGACCAAGGTTTGGAGCCCGGGGAAGGCAGAGTCACCCATTACGGACACAAGAAGGAAGCCAGACAGGAGAATACTGGGCAGAAAAGCGCCATCAGTCTTAACGCTGCCTTTCTGGCCCTGGGAACTAACAACTTGGACGTCCAATCAAGAGACCTAATCTGAAAGTTGGTAACTTCAAAGACGACAGGAGGATAAATTTACAATGATGGGAAGAAACCAGTGTAAAAAGGCTGAGAATACTCAAAATCAGAATGCCTCTCCCACTAAAGATGATCACAGTTCCACGTCAACAATGGAACAAGGCTTGACGGAGAACAAGCACATCCCAATGACAGAATCACTCTTCAAAGAATGGATAATAAGAAACTTCTGTGAGTTAAAAGAACATGTTGTAGCCCAACGTAAAGAAACTAGGAACTTTGAAAAAAGGTTTGATGAAATCCTATTGAGAATAGACAACTTAGAGAGGAATATAAGTGAATTAATGGAACTGAAGAATACAATACAGGAACTCCGAGAAGTATGCACAGGTTTAAACACTCGAATTGTTCAAGCAGAAGAAAGGATAACAGAGGTCAAAGTCCAACTTAATGAAAGAAAACAAGAAGACAAGATTAGAGATAAAAGGATAAAAAAGGAATGAGCAAAGTCTCCAAGAAATGTGGGACTATGTGAAAAGACCAAATTTACGTTTGATAGGTGTACCTGAATGCGACGGAGAGAATGAATCCAAGCTGGAAAATACCCTTCAGGATATTATTCAGGAAAATTTTCCTGAACTAGCAAAGCAGGTCATTATTCAACCCCAGGTAATATAGAGAACACCACAAAGATATTCCTCAAGAAGAGCAACCCCAAGGCACATAATTGTTAGATTCACCAGGGTTGAAACGAAGGAGAAAATACTAAGGGCAGCCAGAGAGAAAGGTCAGGTTACCCACAAAGGGAAGCCTATCAGACTTACAGCAGATCTCTCAGCAGAAACTCTACAAGCCAGAAGAGAGTGGGGGCCAATATTTAACATCCTCAAAGAACAGAACCTTCAGCCCAGAATTTCATATCCAGCCAAACTAAGCTTCACAACTGAAGGAAAAATAAAATCTTTTATGAACAAGCAAGTACTCAGAGGTTTTATTACCACCAGGCCTGCTTTACAAGAGCTTCTGAAAGAAGCATTACACACAGAAAGAAACAACCAGTATTAGCCTTTCTAAAAATATACCAAAAAGTAAAGAGCACCAACATAAAGAAGAATTTTCATCAACGAATGGATCAAACAGCCAGTTAACATCAAATGGTAGTAACCCTAAATTTAAATTGACTAAATCCCCCAATCAAAAGACACAGCCAAAACCCAACAGCATGTTACATCCAGACCTGTTTCACATGCAAGGATACACAAAGACTCAAAACAAAGGGATGGAGAAAGATTTACCAACCAAATGGAGAGCATAAATAAATAAATAAAAAGCAGGAGTTGCAATTCTTGTATTGGATAAAATAGATTTTAAAGCAACAAAGACATAGTGGTAAAAGGATCAATACAACAACAAAAGCTAACGATCCTAACACCCAGATACATTGAGACTTAGATTCAATGAGACAGAAAATTAATAAGGATATCAAGGACTCGAACTCAGATCCGGAACAAGTAAACTTAATAAATATTTATAAAGCTCTCCACTTCAAATACATAAAATATACATTCTTGTCAACACCACATCACACCTACTCATAGGTTTAAATGAAACATTGATTGGCCATTATTAATACCCATTTTTTTTCAGAATAAAGCAATATTTCTGTTCACCCTCCCTGTCTCTCTTCCTCTTTCTTTCTCTCCTTTACTCATTTTTTTTTCTTTCCTTCTCTCAAAAAAAGAAATCAACTTATAAACCTCTAGATCCAGGTCGGCAATGTCTCTCTCATTGCTTGAATTCCTTCCTTCCCTTCCCTCCCTCCCTCCCTCCCTTCCTCCGTTCCTTCCTTCATCCCTTCCTTCCTCCCTCCCTTCCTCCTTCCCACCCTTCCTGCCTTCCTCCCTTCCTCCTTCCCTCCCTAAAAAAAAAAAAAAAGAAGATAAGAAACTACACGAACGGCCTGGTACGGTGGCTCACGTCTGTAATACTAGCATTTTGGGAGACTGAGGTGGGCCTATTATTTGAGGTCAGGAGTTCAAGACCAGTCTGGGCAACATGGTGAAAACCCGTCTCTACTAAAAATACAAAAATTAGCCTGGCACGGTGGCTCATGCCTGTAGTCCTTGGGAGCCTTGGGAGGCTGAGGCAGGAGAATCACCTGAACTCAGGAGGTGGAGGTTGCAGTGAGCTGAAATTGCACCACTTGGACAATAGAACAAGACTCTGTCTCAAAAAGAAACTACATGAAGCAGAGACAATAATTCTCACTGAACTTTGCCTCCAACCCTTAAGACCAAACTGGCTGCCAATTGCTAGATATGTGAATGAGGTCTTAGACTATCTAGCTCCAATTGAGCCACCAGCAAACTGCAGAGATCAACCAAGCAAGCTCAAGCCAGAAGTTCAACTGATTTGGAACATTAATTATATTTGAAAGTTCCCTTTTACAGCAACACCTAATGCATGATTGAGTAATTGGGAGAAGGTGGGTGTATGCTACAAAGTGCCTGCTGCTGTCCTTCCTCTCTCTAAGCCTTGTGAATCTCCCATGTAACCCGTTCTAACTGGAAACATGCTAGGAAGGGAAATCTATAAACTGGAGTTTACCCAAGTTGACACATCACAAAGCCATTTCACATAGATTCAAAGGATCTGTCAAATTCTAAGTTGGATAAATGGGCAAAGAAAAGTGTATGAAACAGGCCAGATGTGGTGGTTCATGCCTGCAATCCCAGCACTTTGGGTGGGCGGATCATGAGGTCAAGAGATAAAGACCATCCTAGCCAATATGATGAAAACTCATCTCTACTAAAAATACAAAAATTAACTGGGTGTGGTAGTGCACGCCTGTAGTCCTGAGTAGCCTGTAGCTACTTGGAGGCTGAGCCAGGAGAATGATTTGAACCCAGGAGGCGGAGGTTGCAGTGAGCCAAGATCGCCACTGCACTCCAGTCTGGGTGACAGAGAGTCTCTTATCTCAAAAAAAAAAAAAAAAAAAAAAGAAGGAGGGAAGGAAGGGAGGAAGGGAGGGA